ATAGAAAATGCTTGGGAGCATAATGAATGGAGGACCCAGAGAAATGCGGAAGTGCTGCGACTGAGTGAGCAACATGGTCTAACAACATGGTCCAAACGTTGTTTCAGTCCGAGCCGTGTTATTAGCAGAGGTTGTTACACAAATGCGAGCGAACCACTTCATTATATTATTTTTCTTTTTATTTATTTTCTAAATACTTATAGCTATAGTATACGAGGCATAAAAGTGTTTAAGCTAACTTGTTTTGCAGATTTGCCATTGTAGCTTTATTCAGTATGGGATCAGGGGAGGCTGTGGGTTCTCAGACTGTGGAGTAATCCTCCACAGGACTACTTTTTAAATCTCACTCCCGCTGAACGTATGACCATTACCCGCTCCACACCAACCTTTGTTGTTCCCGACAATTTTGAAGTTTTCCAATACATCTAATGTTCTTTTCTTGTATTTAGATCCATGTTGTTTTAGCCTTAATTATATTTAGCTATCTCGGCACTTAATCAATTGCAGGACCCACTGTCTTTTGTCAGCCGCCCGCTACTGCCCAAAGCACCCTCAAAACCACCCACTCCCGCAAGGTCTTTTTTGGATCTCCCAGGACTTAGGGATCTAATTCCATTCCAGAGCTTTATACCAGAGCTCCTACTGCTGAGGGAAGGGGCCAATGGGCTTCTGACAGCCTGTCTCAATGCATTTTGGAACTTGGAGTTTAGTAGTTTTTGTCTTGTATACCAGTGGGCTGGTCATCATACATATTAAATATAATCTCGCAGACTAGAAAAAGTTGTTTCAGGCCTTTTGTTAGACATAAATGCACCATTTTTAGTCATTTTACTCAACTTTACAGTTCAATCTGACAGATTGTTTCTGTAATTAAATAACATTAAATTGATCAATTAGATTTTTTTATTGGAATTTAACTTAATGTTAAGTTTAAAGAAAAAAAAACATGCAAGTTGTTTTCTTTCCTCTGTTGGACACATTAAACAGCAGAAAAGCAGTGGAGACTCCAATGAGATTAAATATAGTATTTACATCTTTGCTTTCTGCTATTCTTGGCATGCTGAAGGTTTTTCAATCAACTTTTTCAAAAGTTTTTTTTGATTCTCTGGTAGCCTTTAGGTTACCTTGATTTTTTTTATGACAACAAGACCAGTTTTAGTAAGAAAACTACATCCCCTTGCCTTTTACATATCTGATATGTGTAGTAGGCTGAAAATGACTGATGTTTAACACGCTGATGCTGTTTGCGTGGCTGTCAAGTTTCTCTGGTTGAAGGCATTTATATAACCCATGTCTGAAAGGCAAAAAAGTCAATTTGAGCAGAATTAGCTAAAAAAATATAGAAACATTGAAACATTATCCAACCAGTCACTTGAACCCTGTGCTTTATAAAATCTGCCTTAAAAAACTGAATTGCTGGATAACAAATAGAAATCAAGATTTTAATAAATGTCTAAACACAGAAATGAACCCTTTTATTCCACGGAACGGCAGTGATATGTTGAGAGACTTCCTTGCAAGCCATCTTATAGACAGTGCTGGGCAAGTAACTTCAAAAATGTAATGTATCATTTTCAGAGTAATTAGTTACATTACAATACTACTGTGTTTAAAAGCTAAGGCATAGTGCAATACTTACCATACCATTTTGTTTATAAAAGCGCTTTCAACCTGGCATTACAACCAACCAAAGTTCTGTACACAACAAAACAACAAAAGCATTAAATAGTCGAGTCATAAAATCTATTAAAAAATAATACAACAAAGAACGGTTCCAAACAAAAACAATAGAAGTTGCTCTCACAAAAAATAACAGCAGATATGAATTTAGCTATCTAAATGTAGCTTGTGATGCTCAATTAGCTCGTTACACGTGCATTGGAAGGTTTCTATTTAGCCTTGGCTACCAAATGCCTTAAAAAAGCCCAAGTGTGGGACTGTTTTGAAGTTGATCTGAATTATATTAAACGTATACATTTTAAATACTTATAAATTGTTGCATTAAACAATTAAATGTGTGTAGATGGGGTAAATCTACCCCATCGTTATCCCTCCTTTTCAAGCGCTTTGTTTTGTTTTCTTGCTTTTTATCTGACCATTTTCCTGCACTGTCCATGGTCTTCCTGCATCTCCTCTCAATCCTCCAGAAAAACTGCTTCCTGGATTTCTGTTTCACCTCACGAGTCACTTTTGAACTAAGCAGATCAAAGGGACTTATCAACCGTAAAAGAAGTGGCGTGACGCAGCAGACAGGTGCACAGGTTTGAGCTCCGCTGAGGCAGAAAGTACCAGAGAATATGAGTGGACAGAAATGATCATGTGTTAGTTTTTTTTTTTCTTTTGGTGGCGCCACTTTGAGAATGTTATTGTGGATGCAGCTACCTGGAGTGTATGAACTATCAGCAGTCTCAGTCCTCTCCGCCCAAAAGAATCCCGGTATACGCTGAGAGTCCATCTAATAATATAGTATAGGTAGAAACTGGATCTTTGGTCGGGCTCCCCATGGCCAGTTGAAACCCTGAAGAAAACCCACCACTTTGTTCGGGGATAAAATGCATTTTAATGCTTAAAGAAATGCATTTGTACTGAATTAAATATTACTATTCTTTTCTGTAATGCCTTACATTACCGTGTTACTTCATCAAAAAGCAATGCATTACAGTAATTAGTTACTTTTGTAATACATTACTCCTAAGACTGCCTACATACAGTTAATATATAGACATGGATTTTCTGCTTCCTGGTCACGTGACATGTTTTGAACAACGTAGGACAATATCCTCACGGGCTTCAGATTTGTAACTGTTTAACAGTGGGTATTGTAGTGACCTCTGACCTTTACATTTTATATGTACTTTTATTGTGACATTTATTTGCTGAAATAATTAAAAAAAAGAACCATCAGTGTGATTTTCTGAAATTTTAGAAAATAAGGATTAGACGGTCCCTCTGCTTAGAAAACAAACCCACAGAATGTGTCAGGAAGTTATTAAAATTCATCATGTAGTTATTATAAACTATTATGAAACACCTTAATACATATGAAAATGAATGATCAAATGAGTTATCAGTTATTTGTTTTAATGAATGTATCTAATGCTCTCTCCCAGGAGGACCACAAGGGGAAAGCAGCAGCAGCGAGCCTCTGCTGACCCTGGACACTTGCAGTCCTAAACAGAGAAAATCAGAGATCACAGGTGATAAAAAGGCAACAAACACATTTTCATATTTATCTACACGAGAAGATAAAAATTATATTCTTCACACATTATTTTTAATTCTGTAAAACATGTCAATGCTTCTTTGCTCTGCTGTCCCTAAAAGAAATGACAAGAAGCTTAATTTGCTGAAGAAACACACATAAACAGGAATAACTACGGTACATGCAAGCTTATTTTGGGTGATTTTTGCCTAAATTGTCATCTAAAAAACAAATATTCAAACAGAAAAATGCCTATAAACAGAACTGCTTTAGGCGTTTTAGTTTTCTACAGCTATTTTTAACAAGCGTATGTTTAAAACTTTGCTGCTCTCCTCTTTCTCCTTCCTGTTGAAAACCCAATGACAGGCGCACAAAGCATGCTGGGATAGCCTTGTCTGGGGAAGACACACCAGACCCATCCTTGAATTTTGGTAGAAGCGAGGACGCATTTGAGGATGCGTGAATGAGTATCCTTTAAATTCAGACAGTACTCGTCGCTGCGCTGTGACCTCATCGACTTGAAAATGCATTCTCACAAGCATCCTACCCCTGGATTTGGACACAGCTTTACACCCGCTCTCGTGTATTACATGATTATGTGTTACAAAGTCACCAATATGTTTCAACAATTGGCCATCATTTAAGTCATTTTCAACAACATTTTGATGGATAATTCCAGAGATTATTCTTAAAAACGACACATTGTCTCTATCAAATGGAACAATGTAAGGGTTACCGTTTTTTCCGGACTATAAGCTGCTACTTTTTTCCCACGCTTTGAACCATGCGGCTTATAATGAGGTGCGGCTTTAGTCAACCAGAAAGGATGGATGCTGGAAAGTAATAAAGGAATGGTTAAAGGAGTGCTACGGAAAGCGCCCAGGAGGATTTTTTTCACAGTAAAACGGCGCTGCTTGTTTTCCCAGCTTCATCCCGGGATGATGACAGCAACACGGAGAGCGACACTGACATCGCCACAGAAAAGGTATGTGACGAAGCTCTTCTGATGCTGTTCAACTCCAACACAGAAGAAGAAGACTTCAGTGGTTTCAGTGCGCAGGAGGATGATGAATAAACTAATCAATAACTTTTTTGTTTGATACTGATCAGTTCAGTTACGTTCAGTTAAACTACGTTTTCAATTCAGTAGATATCTGCGGCATTTAGCCCGGTGCGGCTTATATTGAGGTGCGCTCTATAGTCCGGAAATTACGGTAATTTTAATTTAGCAACACGTAATGTTTTTTATTTTAATATATCATTATATAAACATATGAAAGAGTAAAAAAAAAAACTTTTTTTTGAGTGACCACATCGCGTGACTGAATTAGGCTCAGGAATGATTCCTGATCATTGCACATAACAGCTTTGACATTTTTTATATAAACTAGTTTGGAAATAATGAAAAAGTTGTCTGAATCTTTTATAAAGGAGGAAAATTATTTCTGAAATTAAATAATTCTTTTCATGTTACATAATGAAGTGTGTGTGCGTGCGTACGTGCATGCGCGTGCGTGCGTGTGTGTGTGCGAGAGAGAGAGAGAGAGAGAGAGAGAGAGAGAGAGAGAGAGAGAGAGAGAGAGAGAGAGAGAGAGAGAGGAAAAAAGGAGCGACTTGAGGAAGTGGACAGCACCGATGAACTCTGGTCAAGAAGCCCCTCCTCTTCCCTTGTACACACACTCTCTTACTGAAACACAGAGAGAAAGAGAGAGGTGGGGGAGTAGGAGAGGGGAGGAGAGGGGGCTCCGCCGCCGCTGGCCCTTTAAGAGCTGAGCCCGGCTCTCACAGCATACAGTGAGGGAGGGAGAATAGGAGGGACGGAGGCAGAGAGAAAGACAGAGAGGGAGGGTGTAAGCTTGGAAGTGTGTGAGTAAAGAGAGAGAGGGACACACACACGCGCACCAAGAGAGAGAGAAACAGCAGTGTGTGTGAGCGAGAGGTTGAAGGATCACTTCAATCCGGTCTTGTTTTGGGAGACTAACCTTGTTCATCTGAGCATTGTTGGACTGTTTTATGTTGTTGTTGTCGAGAGAGACGGACCCTTACTCCAGCATGCTCACTGAGCCTGAGCTACCTCAGGAGTGTAACAGGTATGTGACGCTTTCCCTCTCTCTCTCTCTCTCTCACACACACACACACACACACACACACACACACACACACACACACACACACACACACACACACACACACACACGCGCATGCACGCACACACAAACAAACACACACAAAAACAAACATGCAAACACACAGAAAGATGACAGAAGACAAAACAGAAACACAGAAAGGATGAAGAAGTAAAAATGTGTGAAGCAGTCAGGCGAGTTAACTTTGAGTGTGTGTGTGTGTGTGTGTGTGTGTGTGTGTGTGTGTGTGTGTGTGTGCGCGCAAGTGTGTGCATGCGTGTGTGTGTGTGTGTTTGAGAGAGACAAAAATAGAGTTGATGATTCACTTCAGAGCAGATCAAGTAATATACAGTGTGTGACAGAAACCCTCCCTCCGTCTCTCCTCCTGCTCCTCTCTGTTTGTCCTGACAAAAAGTTGTGTTCATAAAAAGTTGTGTTCATTCAAATCATTACTTCCAAAGAGTGCTGGTGCATGTGTGTATAACAGAGAGATGTGTGCGTGTGATCATCTCTCATCATCTCCTTTTCACGCCATCACTTTATTTACTTCTGCACCCCGTCAGCGTTCAGCTGCAGGAGAAGAAAACTCTAATGAATCTGAACAGACATCTAAAATCAGCTGAATTTGAAATGTTGGGTTCTGTATTTATTTAAAACATTCTTTTCGTTTTAATCCAAATTCAATAAAAGCCCCTGAGTAATCCCTCTCTGGACTTGTTGTTGTTTTCGTGCCTTATGCTAATATTAATCTGACGGTGTTTGTGCAGGCCTGCTTCGTTTAGAGGTGTGAACCCTCTAACCCTGCACTGTCAACACAAGTGGCTTCAGAATAAAGGCTGTTTGATCCTAACGCAGCGAGAGGCAGATTATGTTCTAATATTGTTTCATTCAAACTCACACATTAAAGTAGCTCTCTGAGTTTGGGCTTTTGCGTCTCACGCCCTTTGTTCTGAGGTAAACTAACTTCATTGGGGTGATTTCAAAAATGTGTTTTTATTAAACTGCAAAGTGTTTGGGGGGGGGGGGGGTGATAACAACAGCTTGGAGGAATTAAAAATTTAAGGGATTACACCAAAAAGCAGAATGTATGGAGATAAATGCAGGGATTACAATGACTTAGGAGGAGAGTGCTTAAAATTCTTGCTTTCCAGTAATGCACTCCATCACTACGGCCGTGTGTGTGTGTGTGTGTGTGTGTGTGTGTGGGGGGGGTCCCTTGGTGGTGCGCGAGTCACCAGAGTGTACTCCAGCCCCAGAGGTTTGCGATGATGCTCTCGGTTCCTGCGCTACTGTAAGTGTCCGCTCGCCTGCTTCACACCACGCTGCCTCCTTCACTTCCTTCTCTTTTACTTTTCTTTTTCTTTTGTTCCTTTTTCTTCTTCTAAAATTAACCACTGACTCGTTTTTTTATTTAAACTAGTTTGTAGAGACGGGTGGTAAAGCATGTTTGAAAAGCTGCTTTTTTATAGTTGAGATAAGACAGAATTTTGGTTTTACAATTATTCATTTTCAACTTTAAAAGTCTTGGGATTTTTTTTTTAAATGTCATATTATACGTTGTTTTATTTGCTTCTAATATTCTGTGATTTAAACATTTTGTATTCATACTCCAAACACTCTTTTCCTCACGCTCGGCTTCTCCAAATGCATGTTTGAACTTCAAGGCAAGAAGGGAAATTAGTGAAACCAAACATCGGCTTATTTATTTGCACAAACAGATTAAAAATAAATAAATAACAAAATTGGAGCGAGCCAAAGCAATCAAAATGCAGATGGAACAAAAAATTTAGAGATTTCAGGAGTTGGAGGATGGAGAGATGAACGGAGAGAAGCAGTGTGGTCAAACTGACACATTCCTCACCAGCAGACAGAAGAAGCAGGTTTACAGACCAGTGAGAGTGCCAGAGATGGGGGGTGGGGGGGGGGTGGGGGGGGGTGGGGGGGGGGGTCTCTGTCTGTGTGGTGTAAAGGTGGTGGTGGATTTTCACACCCCTCCATTTGTCCCCTGTGTGTGTGTGTGTGTGTGTGTGTGTGTGTGTGTGTGTGTGTGTGTGTGTGTGTGTGTGTGTGTGTGTGTGTGTGTGTGTGTGTGTGTGTGTGTGTGTGTGTGTGTGTGTGTGTGTGTGTGTGTGTGTGTGTGTGTGTGGAGAAAGACAAAAAATCAGTCTTTTTAGAGTTGAACTTTAAGTTTTAAAGTTTGTTTGTTGTTTTTCAACTTTTGATAAAAGTTCTGTATTCAACGTTTACTTTTAGAAAAATTAACCAAAACATGTTTGCATGTGTAATACTTGATTTAATGCAACAACATCCTGTGCAGCTTCTCTTACTTGATGAAGAACGGCGTGACTCGTGTGCAAACCTTCCTCCTGTTTTCTCGCTGGATTTTATTTTGGAGTCCCGGATTCTGGAGTGAAAGGTTTGCAGCAGCAGAAAACAACTTGTTTCCAGTCTGAGCGCCGCGCTGCGCAGCTCCCGGTGTCAGAGTCGCAGTCCATTTAAAGGGGTGAGATTAAAGTGTTGTGTTGGGGGAGAAATACAAAATGTGTGTGTGTGTGTGTGTGTGTGTGTGAATGAGAGGGGAGTAGAGTAATTGAGCAGAATGTCCGTGCTCTGCAAACTAATGCGCCGTTCTGCCCTCTTCTTCCCTGTGGCCTCACGTCTCGGCCTCCCTCTCCTTCTATTCCTCCCCCTCCCACCCTCCTCGCCCCCGCCACCTTGAACTGGAGTCCATTGTCTCGGCCATATTGTCTGCCCCCAGAGAGCCTTGATAACCGTGTCTTCATCCACGAAACCGGGGGGCAGGCACCAAAATAAAGAAAAAGGAACGGCAGACTGACAAAACACCAAAGAATTCCTTCTTTTTCCTTATGTCTCTCCCCTCACTCTGACCTCCCACTTTGGATTGATCAGCTGACCCCCTCCGATGGCTGATTTCTGTTAGTTAAGGAGATGGGGGGTGGAAGAGGGATGAAAGAAAGCGAGAGTGATGAGAAGTGTTTTCAAGTGTCAAAAGTGACTGGGAAGGAGAAAGAAAGTGTGTTCGGACAGAAGCCCCCCCAAAAAAGGACTAACTAGAGTCAGGTCATATGACCCAGAGACGTTGGGTGGAGAGGGCGTGTCAAAGGTCAGCTGGAGACATTCCAATAACAATAGAGCAGAGAAACAGCAGCAGGTACTGTAGATCCATTCAGTCCCAACTCGTCATCTCCTTCACCTTCTATTGCTATATTCATCCATCAATCCAGGCAGTTTGTCTTACACTCATCCCAGTGCTCTCTCTCTCTCTCTCTCTCTCTCTCTCTCTCTCTCTCGCTCTATAAACACACACCCTTCTCCCCATCCCATTCATTCTACAGCAGGAGGCAGTGTCAGGAGCACCCTTCCAGAGTTTACAATGAACCTCTGTCTTCCCAGGTAGGGGGGGACAGAGAGGTGGTGGGGTGGGGTAGGGGGGACCATTTGGGACGAGGTGGGAGACCTTCAAAGTGCAGGACAAAAGAAAGAGGCCAGCTGGGCTCTGTGTGGATGTGTTGTCATTTATGTGAGAATAAGCCTGGCCTGTGTGTGTGTGTGTGTGTGTGTGTGTGTGTGTGTGTGTGTGTGTGTGTGTGTGTGTGTGTGTGTGTGTGTGTGTGTGTGTGTGTGTGTGTGTGTGTGTGTGTGTGTGCGTGCGTGCGTGTGCGTGTGTGTGTGTGTGTGTGTGTGAGTAAGCCAAGGCGCTGACAGTGAGACAAATGTTGTGACTCCTTTATGGATTGCTTAACAAATAGAAGGCTGGCACAACAATAGCAAAATACTGTCCCCCGCTCAATAAACATTACCCCCCCCCCCCCCCCCGCAAAAAACACCAGGGGATCGGGTCGCCATCCACCGGATGCACTTCTACTCTCTCCGTCTGCCTGTTTTCATCCCCCTCTCTCCCTCCAGCCCTCCCCCAGCCTTGTCTTTCTGCTTCTTCTATTCCCTTTTCTGAACCAAGATTTTCCCACGAGCTGTCTCTGCTCTGAGACAAATGAGCGTTTTAAACTTTCCTCCCGTTTCCCCCAATTTTTTCCTCACCCTTTTTTGGCCAAAGACAGCCGTGCTGTCTGGTGACTCAGTGTTGGGACACAAATCGGGTCCTGAAGAGAGAGAAACTGCATGACAGAGAAAGTATTAGGAGCGATGCCTCAGTGGCGACTAAATCTTTGGGTGGACGAACAACGCAGACGGACAGGAAAGGGGAGCGTGTTCGGCCCAGAGGCTGTATGAGTTTGCACACAAAACACACTACTTCCCCCCCTCCATCATGTGTGTGCAACAGCATTAAGCTGTGTGTGCTGGACAGGAAACACGTTCTGGGCTGCCGGCCGGCAATTTAAGGCACCTCACAGGGAACGCTTTGTGTTTGAAAGTGTGTGTAAGGTGTCTCTGTGTGCATATACCAGCGTGAGGTGTGTTCTCCCCTTTTCACTTTCTGTTAAAACAGAAAAAGTTCACAATTTAGCCAGCGCTTTACAGAACGGGACATTTACCAGTCAGTTTTCAGACGGGTGTTTTACCTGAAGGTTGTGAGTGTTTTCATCGTGTAAATGCTCCTGTAAAAGGTTAAAGGACTCAAGGGTTTGGTCCCCTCATGTGAACGTTTACTTTCCCCTGCTGCCCTGCACTCCCCACTGTTCCAAACACGGTCTATAAATAGATATTAAACAATATCCTTAAGAGTCTGCCCAAGAGGGGGAAAAACGATGGAGAGATGCTCTTACAAACAGCTGACTGTGTAAAAGAGTAAGACAACACCAGGGCAGAGAGAGAGAGAGAGACAGGAATATGGGGAGAGGGGTCGATCAGGATGACAGATGTTAAAATAAGTCCAACCGTGTGTGACAGGGAGATTAGAGGATGGAAACGATGGAGATTTTTTATTTTTGAGGCTGTAAAGGATGAGGAAAAGGATGGCATCAAAGAAAGTGAGCGCTTGTCACAGAGGGGAAATATTTGTTTAAATTCCTGCCTGAGGTGTCATATGGATGCAAATGTTGTAGTTTGCTCTGAAGAGGCTCAAACACCTTGAGATTTATCTAAAAAGACACATTTCATGCAGCTATTCAGGATCCGTTCTCTCAGAGCGCGCTTTCAGAGGAAACACACCTGAGAGACAAAAAGACACTTCTTACCTCTCTCCCTCTATTTTAGGTTTCAATAAATGATCATGTGCTGCATGTGTGTGCTCATTTAAACAATAGGCTGTAATTGTAAAAAGGCAACACACACACACACACACACACACACTGCCTTTCTGCCGAGGAATTCTCCAGAGGAAGCTCCCACGCTCCCTGAAAGCTTGTTCTGAGTAGAGGAGTTAACAAGAGCAGTTAGCACCATGATTATGTTAGCAGCCAAACACACCAAGCCGTGTGTGTGTGTGTGTGTGTGTGTGTGTGTGTGTGTGTGTGTGTGTCTGTGAGACATTTCTGCGATGATCGCTTTGCCTTAAATAAATCTTTGCCCCGTTCTCCTTCATGTGAAACGTGTTTTTTTTTGTCACACGTCTTTTTGAGAGCGCTCTCAGTTGCATGCTCGTGAGCTGCACTTAGCAACACGTGTGTGTGTGTGTGTGTGTGTGTGTGTGTGTGTGTGTGTGTGTGTGTGTGTGTGTGTGTGTGTGTACATTAGACCTGCAGCTGCAGCTCTGCCAATATGAAATAAGCGCGTTGATTACAGTGTGCGGCGGCCAGGAGATGGTTAACCACCGCTGATGGCGATTATTCAGCCCCGTTAATGGACGTCCGCCGCTTTCCGATTAGTGACTTAGCGGCGGTGGACATATGTGATATGAGAGGGACTTAGCTGAGGAGTCGCTAATCGTCAAAAAGCCAAGGGGAAGTGGCGGTCTAATCTCAGCTTAGCACTCTCACCGTGTGTGTTGTTGGTGTGTGTGTGTGTGTGTGTGTGTGTGTGTGTGTATGTGTGTATGGGTCTTTTTGGGAATCAGAATTTATAAAGTTTACAAAAATCCTGAAATAAAGCATCAAAAGTTTGTTTTTGTTATTAAAAATGAGGAATGATGCTTTGGTTAAACAAAAAATAATACCTGAAATGACATTTTTTTTAAATCATTTTTTTTTTTTAGAATCCAGACATCATTTTGGGTATTCAGTCAGCTTTTTGGGGTCTCCTTCACTATGGTGGCCTTGCCTAACTTTAAATGAAGTAGCTGGCGTAGCCTGCACACCCGCTGTGCCCAATTGTGTTGTAATTCCACTTCAAAGCCAAATAGAGGAGTGTGGGGATTTTATAGCCAGTGAGGAGCTGTGAACGTCACCGCCACCTTTATTTAAAAGACACTCACCTCTGAGGAAGTTGTAGCAGAGCTGAAGAAGAAGAAGGCTGATATTTAGATTTATAGAAGCTGTTTGACACATGAGAGCAAAGTCATCTGTCCTGCAGTGTGTTGCTGTCTGTGTTAATGTGTAACTGGCGCTGGATAGGGCAAAGCAGCTACTGTGGGCAGCAAATGATGGATGGTAAAATTATAAAAGAAACACATTGAAAGTATGTTTTCAAAATGATTTGTGCACCAAAAAGAGTTGCGTCTGAGTGGATTGTGTGTGTGTGTGTGTGTGTGTGTGTGTGTGTGTGTGTGTGTGTGTGTGTGTGTGTGTGTGTGTGTGTGTGTGTGTGTGTGTGTGTGTGTGTGTGTGTGTGTGTGATACAAAAAGCCTTACTGTGTGAGCGATAAAGACAGACCAGCAGTGTTAGAGCCTCTGTTCCGTGTGTGTGTGTGTGTGTGTGTGTGAGTTTGTACAGCTGGGGCTGTCGCTTGCATTGGATGTGATTGAAACCACACACACACACCTCAACTCGACCTTCATAACTTTTTCAAGAGTCTGTTCTAGTTTTCATGTTAAAGCTGTTATAGCGAATCTAAGAACAAGCCAGGTTTTAAAACACTGAACTGGTACACTCAC